GGGGGGGGGTCTCTCGCAAACCTTTCGTCTCGCCCGGATCGATTTTGCAAAAGGACAAAAAGCACGCTTGGTTGCGAAGAAGCAAACATCGGGGGGGGGCGGTTGTTGTTGTTGTTGTTGTTGTTGTTTGAACAAGAATGGTGGTATTGACGGAGAGTCCTGTGGCAGACAGCTCCCACGAGTCCTTTAGCTTCAGTGTAGTTGGAGATCTAGGCGGGACATACACCACCACAACCGCTTGACAGCTCAAGGCTACGAACTGACATATCGCCTATTGCCCCAACAACACCGACCGACAGCTCCGGCACCGTACCGCTACCTCGCGGTCGAACTCCTCTTCGCCCTCAACCGCTTACTGCTCCTCGCCTCGGCATTCTTCTCACTCTTCGCATCACCGCTTCGCTCGCGTTCCCTCGTCTCTCCCAGAGCCGTCACGACGCCGACATTCTCCTTCGCCTCCTCGAGCAGGAGATCCAGGCCGCGCTTTGGCGCCGGAGTACCATTGACGGTGCCGGTCTTCTCGACACGCTTGCGTTTGGTAGACTTCTGCTTCTCGCTGGACGTGCTGACCGAGTCGGTGGGGTCGGAGGCATCGGAGCTTGGCTTGGATTTAGAGGAGGACTTGGACTTGTCCGTGCTGCTGCTGGAGCTGGAGGACTTGCTCTTCTTGGGCGTAGAGACGGATCTCGAAGTCGATTTATTGAACGCTTCGTGTTCGTTCTCGGGCTCAGGGTCTGATTTGGAGGTGGACAGCTCGGGCGCGACAATATCAGATTCGCTGCCACCCTCGTCGTGCTCAGCTTTGCTCGGTTCGGCCATTGCGTTCGTCTCCCAGGAGCCATCTAGGGTCAAAGTGTGCTCCTCACCATCCTGTTGGTAACGAGCAATCTTGTGTGCCCAGCTGATACGATCGAACTCCTGGCCATTCTTCCTTCGCTTTGTCTTCTTCTTGCGCTCGGGATCTTGGCTATCACTAGCCCCATCTTCGCCCGTGTCGGCGAATCCTAGCTTGATTTGATCGAGTCTTTGTTGGACAGGAAGCGCAGCGCCCTTGTTCTTGCGGGTGTTGTTGCGAGTCAGCATGGCGGCATTCTGCACTTCGGAGCGCTGCTTGGCCATGGAGATAAACTCTGTACCATTCAAACGGCGTAGAGAGATGTTTGACGGTAGTGTTATCGGTCTCTGGGGCCGAGGCAGCTTCGTGTTGGCGTTCAAACGGTTGCTGCGGCGGCTTGGTGATGGTGGCTTCTCGGTGACTTCGTCGACACTCGGGATGATTACTGTGGTTGTGACAGTTGGCTCTTCAGGACTATCGAGTTCGGAGATATCATCGGGTTCTGGAGAGTGCGGTCGTTTGCGATCATTGGATTCCGGAGATGCGCCTGCAGACTGATTGTGTTGATCGATTAGGTGGCGCTTGATGCGATCACCGACCGGACGATAAAGCAGCAGAGATGGATTCTTCTCGCGAGCTTCCTTAGCGCGCTGCAAGAACTGCTGGAGGTAAGCAGTGTCATCCTCATCAGGCTGAACAGAAGTCTTTGAGAACTGCGGAGCCGCGGCAACGGCAGCAGCATCTTCCACTTTCTCTACATCAGTGACACCGTGCTTGGCGAGTGTAGGCAGCACATCATGTGGCGGAGAGACAGCGACCTCAGACTCGGGTTGAGGCTCATCGCGCAAGAGTTTTCCAATCTGGTTTGCTACGTCCTTTGACGTATCCAGTTCTGCAATGATCTGACCGTTGCTGTAAGAAATCTTTGATGCGTTCGCAGTGATATGCTCGTCCGAGAACGTGGTGGTTGGTACGATATCGAAGCACATTTGTGGGCCCGACGTGCATCCCGCCTCAGAAGGCAGACTGCTCGTCTGCTGGCCAGACAGGTGCTGCTCGACCGTTTCCTCGGAGCTTCGTTCATTCATTTTACAGGGTGAAGGCGTATGTGGTTCAGAAGCATAATCCTCAGGCTGGATCGAGGTGTCGGGCTGTTGTGGAAGCTCAGCGCGACCGTCTGCAGACTGAGCATTCACTTCGCTCTGTTCAGAGATCTCGTGAATGTCTTCGATCGGTTGGAGGCTCGTTTGGATTTGCTCAGGAGTTTTGTCGGCGTCTTCCTGGACGCTGTCGTCCGCTTCCATTGAATCAGAATCTTGCTGAACACCTTCCTTTTCTTGACGACTGAATTGGTCTCCATGTTCATCTCTGTGCTTGTCTCCGTCCTCTGAACCTTCTTGATCACGAGCACCCCAAACCACAGGCACATAGCCCTCCGCCATCTCAACCTCCACATTCTCCTTGTCCTTCTCACCCACCGCCGCCGTGCCCATCTTGACCCTCTTCGCCGGCCTCACATTCCCCTCGAATTCCCCATCCTCATCATTCGCTCCCCTCTTCCAACGCTTATTAGCCTCAGTCGTAATGTTCTTCAGCGGCGCCCGCTTCCAAATCACCTTCTGCGCCTCATTCCGCTTCGTAAACGGCTGCGCGGGCTGGCGCTCCCACGCGCGAGGCCCACGCGGCAACTGCTTGGGCGTGAACGAGTATTTCTCGACGTTTTCTGCGTCTTCGTGGATGTCGACATGGAAAGTCGGTGTCTCGGGCGATTGTAGCGGCGGCGGCGGCTGTTGTGTTGTGCCAATAGTACCGGTGTCGGTCTGTGAAAAGTGGAAGATGGACCGCTCGCTTTCCACGCTCTTCCGTAGGTGAGACGGCGAATGTGGATCTAGGCACGCCATGCTGCTGAGAGGGCTGCTGTGGGACTATCGATGCTGTTGTGGAAGCTCTATAAGCATACTGGCGCAGTGAGAGGCCGTGAAGAAGGTCGCGTCAATGTTTAGAAGCGCGTCGCCTGCGAAGCCGCTGCGGAGAAGCACAGCCTTGGCGTAAACAAAGTAAGTGGTTGAATTGGCTTGGCACTATCTGCAATCTGCCAGCAGGACTCTTGCTGTGCCATGAGGATTCATCATCAAGTCAATTGAGTGCATGAGGAGCTTGATCAGATGCTAAAGGAGTGTTCATTTGTTTGGGTCGTCAATCATTTACAGAACATACCGCCGTTATACACTTTCCAATCCTATCCTTTCCGCCCAGCATTGGCATAGCAAAGTCCATCGCCGAGACATCAGGACCAATATTACGTGTGAGTCTCATGAGATGGCTATAACCACCTCTAACCCGTGCCTCCTCCGTGTATGACGTGGCAGGTGTCATGCTGATAAAATACACATCGTTCGCGTCAATCGTATCTCCTCTGTGCGCCGCAAGTACCACAGAGTCCATAGCCACTGAATCCATGTTGCCATGCCCAATGTATGATTCTAAACGCCCAGGCTATGCAAAAGGAAAGTTCGAGAGAAAGGTTTGCACCTATCTGAATTGATAGTGCTCCTGAGGGAAGTCGGCTGTCTCGATTTGAGGGCGTGCCCATACACCGGGAGGTGCACTGTGCGGCGCACTTGTGACAGGACTCTCGTTGACGAATTGGTTGTAGTCCCAAGAGGGAGCACGAATTGGGGCCGTCATAGCATCGGATGTCATGAGCATCGACGCTTGAGGCATCCCCGGCATGGCAGCGAAGCTGTAAGGATCGACCATGTCATATCCAGGGCCGCTGGTGGGCATCTGAAGCTGCAACTCGGGAAGGGGGGCGGTGGTGACAGGTGCAGACATGCGACCTGGGACCATGCCCGGTGGGTATTGCGCCTGGTCATACACATATTGCGATGCGTAGGATGGCGGAGGGGACGGGGGATAAGTCATGTCGCCCATGCCCTCTCCATAACTGGATGGAAGGGGAGTCATGATGGCTGAAGCAGTGGACGAATAGCTGGCGGAATACTTGCTGATAATCTTTTTCAGCGCATGAGCAAGAATCTTCCAAGGAAAGACTTTGACGTCTTTCTCAATGTTTCGAGGCTTGGGGTGAGGGAAGCCCATGATGACCTTGAAGAATTCCTCGCTGTCTTGCTTGGACTTCGAGACAGTGGCAGGACGGAATCCTTCGAGGTTGCGACGGATGCGGTTCTTCTCCTCGACAGTGAAGCGAACGCCAACCAAAGCCTCCAGAAGGTAGATGGTATCAACGGAAGTGACGAAATATTCCTTTTTCTCTTTCCAGAGGATGCAGCTGATGGTAATGCTGCTAGGAAGGCGGTCCTTGGGCGCAACGGGACTGAAGTCAGCATTGATCGAACTGCCATCCTGGCTGCGCTTGAACTCGACAAGACGGCGACGATCGCTGATCTCTTCCTCGGTCCAGTTCTTGGTCATCGAGTCGAGGTCACCCCTCAACTTCAAGCTGGCCTTGAGTGGATACATGGCATACGGGTTGAAATTGCCAGTGTGAATGGGGTGAAAGTTATTCGTGTTGACGGGAGAGCCCTGCTGCATGGTCGAGGTGCGAACAAGTCTCGGTGCAGACGACTTGACCGGGCTGCTCGAGGCGGGGCGTGGGACAGGTGTCATTGGAGCGGGAGGGCTAGGCTCGGTCTTGACGGTAGCGAACGATGGGCTCCAACCCGGAGTATGAGGAGAGGGCGCAGCCAACGAGACCTGCGACGCGTTTGAGGTCGAGTAATTGTGCCCCATGCGAGCACCCGGAGCAAGACCGTGTTGGAAAGAGCCGGTGCTCATGGGAGTGGCCACATACTGCGAGTATGGAGACGTTTGTCCACTGTTGTCATAGATGGCAGGATTCTGCAAGTGTAGTTGCGCAGAGGCGACCCTCTTCTGCGGTGGAGCGACATCGTAGTTGGAGACGTCATCGGAGGCCTTACGCTTCATGGGAAGGGCAAGAGCACGCTCAGGCTCAGAGCTCTGGACGCTACCATCGAAACTAGCGACAGCGGATGGACGACGGCTCTGTGGCACACTGGAGGCAACGTGCTTCTCATCCAGATACATGGCGTGTTGCTGGACCGAGTAGTAATCCTGGCCTTGCTCATTGGCATATCCGTGCTCCATGTACACTTGGGGAGTGTATGGAGAGTCCCCGTAGGCCGGGGGAGCGCGCGGATCGTGCAAAGCGGGATGCTGATATTCTGCTACATATTAGACGATGTCTGAAACCGATCAAGGAGGCGGTCTTACCCAGCATATCTCGTCGGGTCGCCATCGACTGCTTCGCAATGAAGCCGTCAGTGAACTGGACACCGAAGTGCTCTCCGGCGAACATCGATGCGTCGTAGCTGTCGTCGACGATGAAGGGAGTGAAGAAGTCTGGGGTAGACTGGAAGCTGTCAGCATCGTCCTGCATAAAGGGAGGCTTGTCTTTAAGCATGATCGGAAGAGTCGGATCAGCCTTTGGCGGTGAGCACGGACGTACCTGGATACGATCAAGCGTTGTGGAAGCCAGCTTGACGGTTGGTGGAGATTCTTTGAGGATAGGTTGCTAAAAGCACGAAAACAAAGCGAGCGACTGGTGCGATAAAAACACTAAGCGAGTGACAAGGCAGTTTAACTCAGCCTCAGGAGTTCAAAACAGAAGTGTTGAGGTTGTTGTTATTGGCAAGGGCCTTTCTGGGCTGTGTAGACCGAAAGACCGATAACCAACATTAACAATCGGCCAAGTTAATGACCAATACTGGAGGAAAGCCGGGTGTGGCTTCGTGGCAGAAAAGTCCGGATAGACCGAATGCCGAAGGAGGTAGGAGGCGGTGACCTAGATCTGAAGAAGATCCAGGATGGCGTCGTGGGACAGGGAGGCGAGATGTGATCCGAATTCCCAATATAGAGGTGTTTCGGGAGGCTGAAGCAGCTGCAATTTTCTAGACAAAGAAGCGGCACGGGTTGCTCAGCGCGAACTGCTACATTCATCAGCCAATCTGTCGGGATGCCTGATTATTTGTGATGATGCCGTACCTGTTTGGGAAAATTGCTGTTGGGATCTGGGCGGCGGTGATGATGAGGTCTCCAAATACGATCAATGGTGGCTTGATCTGAAGAGAGAATTAGTCCCGAGTGTCTCGATGGACTTGTATGTATGATTAACCAATTCAAGAAGGGGGAGGGGTCATCTCCTTCAAACGAAGTCAAGATAGCGCACGCAAGGAGACGGGTCGCTAGAGGCGGAAACCCCGGATGTGGTATTGATGATGCCGAACATGGGAGAAAATGGATGTGAACGACGTACCGTTTAATTTTATTGTGCACCGATCAGTGCTCTCCTTGCAACTGATCTATGTGTGTGCTCGTGTGAAGGCTGTAGTTGATGCCAAGTATCAGCCACTCAAGGGCGTAGCTTGTGATAGGCGCACGGATAGCGGCAGAGAGAATGCTCGAGCGTCAATTACAAAAATGCCGAAATCGTATGCAACTTGATGACCAAGTATCGTGTTTATACAAGTCGTGGAAGTCGTAAGCGCTGGAGCAAAAGGTGGATGGTGGTGGAGCAGGCTGGTGGACAGGACTGCGGAGGTTGGTTGTGGTGGATGCGGGTCGAACAGGCTGGAAGCGATCGAGGCCTCGACAACAAAGACAGCGAACGTGTAGCTGGTAGTGAGTGTGGTAAAGCGAACGAAAGGTGAAGCCTGCGAACAGGACTTCTGAAGTAGTAGAGCGATCGGCGGTATGGATGGTGAGTTGGATGGTGGTGTGGTCGTGGAAGAAGATGGAGCCGGTGGGCGAGGGCAGGCTTGGGACTATATTTCCAGCGGCGAGTGAACGGATGGCAGGCGCTGGGAGGGCGATCCGCAGCAGTCAAAGGCGAGGGTCAAGAAGGGTAAGCCAATGGAGTGGGAAGCGGGTGTGGCAGTGACAGCTTAGCGGCAGGCGAGCATTGGCTCCCAAAGGACGTGGACTCCAGCTGGCTGGGTGGTGCACCGGGTGAGCTGCGACGCAGCAGGTGAGAGGGCAAAGGGGGTCGAGGGGGTCGAGAGGGTCCCGGGGGAAGAGTTGACAGGATTAGCACAGAAGGCAGAAGCGGAGTAAAGCTTGCTGGAAGCGGAGTGGTCGGCAGGATAGAACTCGTCATGCAGGTTGGAAGCATGGTGCGGGACGAGTGGGCAGCACAAGGCCAGCAGAGAAAGAAAACCACTACTGTCCTTTCCGAGCTGGCCGATTCGAGTCATCCTGTGCTCAAGTCGTCGTCCACTCTGCCACTACTGGCTTGACGGCATCATGGGTCACGATGCTTGTGTCGTCCTTGACCCTTTTCCCAAGCAACCGGAATGGCGGAAGAGTGCTTGGAGTCAGGAAGTCAGGCTCGTCAGGGTCTCCATCCAACTGGGTTTTTGACATTCGTGAGAGGCAGTGTGCTGCGCCTCCCGCAGCAGTGAGCACCGATCGCGTCGAATCCAGAAAAAATATGGATCTCCAACTGGTCGCTTAACAATTGCCCCGGAACTCTCTTCAACGTGCGCCTATTGTTCTGGCTCTTGACACCTGAGAAAAAATGTCCGGGCCGCCGCCATCATTCCATCAGTCAGCCTCCTGGTTGCAACATACAGACTACAGTAATCCGTACACTCCGCCGCTGTAGACTCGTATTACCAGATGATTGCCCCATCAGCGTGGCATTGAGCAGTCAACACAACCTGGTGATCTTCGATCGACAAAAGAATTCGGTGGAGCCACCGAGGTGGCCAGGAGTCAAGGGCCGCTGGGAGCTGGAGCTGGCCTGGCAAGGGTCGCGCTGTCGCCGCCCCTTGTCAGAGACGGGGCGTGACGTCTTACTGGAGCCCAAAAATAACTCCAGTGTCGCTCAAAAGAAAAAATCGCATGCAGACAACAGCGCCTAAGCAGCAAGCTACCGCCTAAAAGGGCATCGCCTCCGTGCTAGGGTGCCCCCCCTACGCCTATTGCACCGTCCACAGCCTTAATTCCCTAGACTCTCCTCGTCGATGGTCGCTTTCCCGTCGCGATTCTTTGCCACAATGCCATTCGATCACGGCTCCATCGCCGCCTTTTTCCTTGTCGACGCCTCATGGACTTTCTGCTAAATACCTTACCGAGGTCTTGGCTCAGGCCACGCTGATCCAAGGTCACATGTAGGGACACTTACTCGTATGGACGCTACTCGCATACACGATCTGTTCCTATCCTGACCGCCCATAAGCGAAATGCTGTCCAACGTGATTCTCCTGAACTGTGTCCACTTGCCACCTGGGCTATGGCAAACGCCGCAGACCGTCGTCATCTTCATGTTTTTGGCTCAAAACATCAACTGCCGCACATCATGAGTGGATCCTGCCAGAGGTCGGCCATGGCCTGAAGAAGAGAAGCGCCACAATAGCATGTCCACCGTCATGCTCACCAGCCGACAACCGACTCCTGAGCCTTCTACTCATGAAACTGGCCGCTGCTTGGGCCTTGACGTTTAAGACTGAGTCTTGTGGCTGACCAAGTGCCTGCTAGGTCGAATACCGTGCGTCCAGCTTGTTTCAATATACAATAGTCACACTGCACCATCGGGGGGTGCGCTTTTTGACTTCAAGTTACGAGGCCTCGACAGACAAACAGCGCGAAATACACGCGGTGCGCGTCTGACCTCGAAGTCTATTGACCATTGCCCCTGAGCGATGAGGCTGAGCAATTCTCGTCTCACCGTGATCCTATCAGACCACCTTTATTTTTGCCATCCCAATCGAGCCTAGCGAATTTCTCACCTCGACACGACTGCCCTCCACGTCGTATCCATCACCGACAGCCGGTAAGAATCCGTGGGCTGCGCGCATACGGATACCGACCAGAAGGAAATGATCTCCTGGTCTCGCGTGTTGCCCGTTAGGACCACGATTCGTGATTCAATAGTTCATCGGCTCGGTGCTTGAACACACCAGTATCACGGGGAACATCCCAGAAGCAGGCATAATTCCATTCGCTAAACATCAGCCGACCGTTAGTATAACATCATTCAGGGACCAGTGCGCACCACACTAACAGCCTCGCTTCGATGATTTTTTCCACAACCGAAGTGCCGGCAACATCTTATCATCGTCCAACATCCAACTTTTCTCAAAGATCTTCGCCGTGCCTGATCGTCGAGAACCGCCGACGACTGTCGATCGCCGGTAGGCCATTCGTTCAACGTCTGCCAGCGTGCTCACTACTGTACACAATCCTCCAAGAATAACAACAAATGATGCAGGGCCACTGCAGCGTTCACTCGCCACATGTCAAACAAACGCAGATCCTCGCTGCGACAACGCATCGCATCCCTTCATGCCAAATAGACTGACTGAGTAACCTACCACGCATCTGATCATGAATGGTATCGGTGAGAGCGGAAATACGCCTTTGCTAATATTCCCTCCTCAAATCCCGCCAGGGCTTGCCGACGCGGCCAGTACATGCAGGGCAATGAAAGCTCCAAGACCACGAGGTCGGAGAGACATTCGCCCCCTCCCACGAAGCGAACCACGTTGTTCGAATCTATTTGCACTTAGCATGCGGGCCATGGCGGCTGCCCTGACATTTAGATCACCAGGGGGAGGAGCCCAAAAAAGCTTCCAAACACCTCGTACCTGCACCTGCATTACATGCCGCTTCATTTGGGGGATTTGAATTTATGGCCTGTGGCCGATGCTCTGGCGTGCGATTGGATCACCTCCATAGCCACCTGTTGGGCATATACACCCACGATCAATGTTTCAACTCCATGCCTGCATGGCATGGAGTTCCTGAGGAAAAGGGTCTCACTTCGTGTGATGGCGTTCACGGCGGGTATCTCGGTAAGTTGCCCACTGGCGAACGCATCTTTTCCACGCGATGCTCCTCGTCCCTGGTACACCAGCCTCTCCACAACACTGGTTCCGGCAACACCACCGACGCGACACCACTACCGAGGTGTTCGCGAACGAAAACATGGTCTCACCGTGCTATCATAGTAGACAAACGATAGACAATAGTCCCTCCCGAGCACACAAAGGTAGGTCCCCACCGCGATCCTAACCAGCGCTAGGATGCTCTATCTCGCAGCCGAATGCATCTCCGCCCTACCATGCCTTGCCCACCTCTCTCATCCAGCCATTGCCGCCCTCTGCCCTACACTATGTACCATGCTCTACAACTCGCCTACCCCTGCCCCCAACCCAACCAACCAACCGCTCCCCTCAACCGCCCGTCATCTCCCGCAAGTGCAAGCGCATAGCGTCAACAATACCCACCCACTTCGCCCCCAAGCACGCGCACGGGCGCGCCGGCGGTGCCGCTTGTGTCACTTGTCACCGAGCGTGCATACCCACTCGCCCGAAGACATGACGGCATTGACGTCGCACAAGAAAGGGCCTCGGTGGACTCGTTGCTGGGTGCTGGTTGCTGGGTGGGATGGCACCACTGCAGACACAGTAGGAGAACCAAGAGCTGTATGTGCGTGTAGTGGAAGAGAGAGAGAGACAGAGAGGGAGAGAGAGGCACAGTGGGTTAGAGGGGCGCACGCGCGCTTTCATCTCGGTGCCAGCGAGGACAGAGGACGACTATCTCGCCGGGTGCTGGCTGTACAGATCATGGCGCGCTCAGCAGCCTTGTTAGCAAAGCACAGCCAAAGCACAGGCAGATGAAGCAGCTACCTCACCGTCCCGCATCCCCCCCCCCCCCCCCCCCCCCCCCCCCGTGCTCCTACTCCCTATCTCCTGATCAAGTACACGTGCCACAGCAGCACCAGCAGCACGCACGACGAGCTAGGTCTAAGGTTCCGCCTGTCATTGCCATCTTCGCTCTTCCACTCCCCTGCAATCCCAGGCTTGTGCAAAGCCTGAGATGCAAGATCCAGAAAGGGGCAAACTGAAAAGCCAAAGCGACTGCCGTTTTTGGCGGACGTGCATAGTTTGCTTACATTGCAATACATTGCATGCTGCTGTGTACTCTATATATGCGCCTGCTGCCGCATGCCCAGGTAAGTGGGTGGAGCGGGAGATAGGACTGCAGTGCAGTGCATTTGCGGTGCATTTGCAGTTGATGTTGCAGTTCATGCTGTGACACTTTTCTCGAAATAGATTCTAGACCATGGACCTGGACTTGCGTCTCATGTAGAGGCCAACCTGTGTTGCGGATGAGGCTTGCGAAAGCAAAAGTGAAAGCAAAAGGCAAAAGATTGAGGATGGCGATGGCGATGGCGATGGCGATGGCGATGGCGATGGCGATGGCGATGGCGATGGCGATGGCGATGGCGATGGCCCTGGGTCTTGGGCGAGGAAAAGGTAGGCCTGCCTGGCGGGCTGGCAGGCTATCGTTGGGCACGCGTGCCGTGTCGCGTTCTGCTATGCTATGCTGTATCGTGGTCGTTCCTTGCAGAGCCAGACACCAGGGGAGGTCGTGATGTCGTGCCACGTCTGGAAGTGGAAGTAGGGGAAGTTAGTGAGCACGGCGACCGCGATGTCGCCGCTACGTTGGGTCGGTGACGCTAATGTGCACCTATAAGTCAGGGGAAGGGGTGGTGCATGCTGTTGTTCCTCATGTGTTGGCAACCGAAAGGCCACGGCCGTTGATCGTCAGGAGGCATGTGTGACGGTGGTGAGTCATGTCGTGAGAGGAAGAGAGAATACGCGGGGACGTCCAGGCAGGGTTGATGAGTCGTACATTTCGTGGTTTCATCAGTAGGTAAAATACTGTGCTACCTAAGTCAACAAGGCCATAACTTGTACGGCGCGTTGTGGTGCCGCGGCTGGCGACTTTCATTCCTTTCCACTGCCTACCCTTTTCTGTCTTGTTATTCAAGCCACCACAAAACTTACAGCTTACTATCTCCTTCACTAACCTGCACGACCAGCTTTCCGAATTGGCTGCTGTTCTTCATATCCTCGAACAGCCCATTGATGGCGTCCAGATCCAGACCCTTGACGACCCGTGACACGGCCGGCGCGGCTTTTGTGCGCTTGATGAAGTCAATCATGTCCTTGAACTCCTTGCGGGAGCCCATGGTCGAGCCCTTGACTTCGATGTTCTTGAGCACCGCTTGCATCAGAAAGTCCATCTTCGGAGAGATGGTCATGCCGTAGATGGAGATGATGCCACCGGCCTAGAGTTGAAGTCAGTCAACGTAGATCAAGCTTGGAGGTCTGCAAAGAACAAAACTCACCTTGAGGAGCCGTGCACCCTTGGAAACGACATCCCCGCCGGCACCATCCACGATGGCGTCAAGCTGCTTGTTGTCGCTGGGCAGCATACCCAGCAGCTTCTTGTCCCAATCCTTCTCCTTGTAGATTACACCACCCCTAGCACCCAACTTGACAGCCTTGTCGATCTTCTCCTGGCTGCCACTCGTCACCCACACATTGGCGCCCGCCGCCCTCGCAAACTCTAGTGCGTTCAATGCCACTCCGCCACCGATGCCCGTGATCAGGATATTTCTTCCTGCCTTCAAATTATGCTCTCCGCACTTGACCATGACGGCACGCCAGGCGGTGAGACCAGTCAGGGGCACTGCGGCGGCTTCGACATCGCTTAGATGACTGGGGGCTTCTTCTACCTCATCCGCCTCCACAGCCATGTATTCCTGGAGCGTGCCATTGGGGTTCTGTTTTGTACCTCCGAGGATCTTGTAGCCGGTCTTGTCTTCGGGGCCGTCCATGTCATCCTTCCAGCCGCTGCCAGGATTGACGACCACCCGCTTCCCTTGCCAGGACTGCGGGGCGGAGGATCCGACGCTCACTACGGTGCCGCAGCCATCGGCGAGGAGGGGAATGCTAGAGGTGAAGGTCAGTGATGGTGTATGGAAAAGTCACGGTGATGGACGCAACAGGCATGTGAAGAACGAGGGATGTACGATCCTTGAGCGACTTACCCGAATTCAATACCAGGGTACAGGTGCTGTCGAATGAAGAGGTCGCGGTGATTCAGCGCTGCGGCGCGGACTTGGATGAGAAGTTGACTGGGCTTAGGAGTAGGTTTCGGGACTTCGTCGAGAGAAAGAGGGTAGTAGACTTGGCCAGGCTTGCCGTCGACCTTGCGGACGGATATCGACTTTGGCATGGTGACGATCTGTGTAGAGGGAAGGCTGTAGATGCGGTGAGATAGTACGGACACGGATTATTAGTAGAGGCGGCGTCAAATCGAGGCAAGATATATTGCACAGACAGATACTGGCATTAGTAAACAATCACACCGGTATTGTTGGCGTTCACATCATCGCCCTGCCCGCGGGGAGCTCTCCGCAGTGCTGAGCAAAGAGTTACCGAGGATCGTAAGGCTTGGGATGCGCAAGACGCAGATGCGGAAAGCGGGACGCTTATGTCCTCTTATCGCCGCCACACAGCACTGATGTGGCGTTCGAGATGCGAGCTGTAAAAGGATCCATGACAAGCATCGAGACCAAGGGTGAGCACTCAAAAGACCGCGCCGCCTTGCAGCAGGGAAAATGCATCGTATAACTGTGGGGTTGGGCGGCCTCTGTATTTCTCTACATACTGCTTACTCAAACAACGAACGTGCGGTGTCATTGTCACTGCAGTGGTTTGCCCCTTATTGTAGCAGCGACCAGTCGCACATGTAGCGCAACATGAAGGGGGCACACAGGAAATTGTATCGGACGTGCCGCAGCCCTTGCGATTGGCTCTGTTGCCCTTCTCGCACTTTGGTAGGTGGTTGATAGCATCCTGGAGGCGAGAAGAAAAGGGGGTTAGCGAACCTTAAGCCTCCTGACGCCTAACGGTCCGGGGCTCGGGGGTGCCCCCCAAGTGGCCGTTATCGATCGTATGGGACGTGTGCTCCATCTTGCCTCGACCTCCTGCTATACCCCTCCAACTGCCTCGTGTCCGTACGACCCACCACGCAAGCACATTGGCGACTTCTGCACCCAGCGCAAGCCACTGTTCTTGAACCATCAGCGACTTCACCTGCGTCTACAATCGCCAACCCGGTGCCCATCGTGTAGAACAGGGCGGAGTTTCTTGGCCCCTTATTCCAGGAAATTTTCGGCGTCCGAATACGCGAGGACGAGCTGTCATGTTTGCTTGATAATATCCAAGGCGACACACAACGGTGGGCTGAACAGACATTACACCATGGGTTCATTCGGCGAGTTGAATGACTACGGTCATGCTATGAAGTCCCAGTTTCTGTTTGACCCGAAGTGGACCAATCTCAACCACGGTATGTGGATTTGGAGGGGACCTTCTGAAGTACTTCATGGGACGGAGTGACGCCTGTCGTGCTCTCCGTAACATCAACCCTGCTTCACATCAAGTTACGAGAACAGCTACTGATCAGCGACCCAGGCTCATACGGCACCTATCCTCTGCCTGTCAGGAATGCATTGCGGGGCTATCAAAAGCTCACCGAGGCCTGTCCCGACAAGTTCCTCCGATATCAGTACCTTGACCTACTCGAGAAGTCTCGAGACCGGATATCGAGACTAGTCAATGCCTCTGTCGACGACTGCGTCTTCGTTCCCAATGCGACTACAGGTAAGTCCAGTGCCAAGCATATGCTTTTGATGTCTAACCACGCTTCAAGGCATCAACACCGTCCTACGAAATATCCAGTACAAAGAGAAAGACGTTATCATCTACTTCGACACCATATACGCCGGAATCGAGAAGACACTTAAATCCATCAAGGAGACTAATCCTCAACTCAGCCTCCGGAAAGTTGGTCAGGGCCAGGATTTCGCTTATACGTTGCCTTGCACACATCCTGAGATCCTAAATGCCTTTTCACAAACAATATCACGAATACTATACGATGGTTATACGCCACGAGTGGCCGTGTTCGATACCATCGTCTCAGTCCCAGGCGTCCGGTTTCCCTTCGAGCGCCTCACCAAGATGTGTAAAGAATACAATATTTTTAGTGTGGTTGACGGCGCCCACGCAGTCGGTCAAATACCACTGAATTTGAGCCAGCTGGACGCGGATTTCTTCGTAAGTAACTGTCACAAATGGATGTACACCCCCAGAGGATGTGCGCTACTGCATGTGCCGCTACGGAATCAGCACTTGATTCGAACGACCTTCCCCACCTCGCACGGCTATGTTCCAGTCGACGAAGACCTGTATAATCCTTTGCCGGCTTCGGGCACCAAGAGTCCCTTTGTCAAGCTGTTCGAGTTCGTCGCGACTACCGACTGTTCGCCCTACTATTGCGTACCAGCCGCCCTCAACTTCCGTCAGAATTTGTGCCCGGGAGGCGAAGAGGCGATTTACAAGTACATCCGGGACGTGGCTCAGCGAGGAGCGGATTTGCTGGCGATGGAATTGGGGACTGAAGTCATGGACGATATAGACGAGGGCCGTGGTCTGAAGACGATGGGCAGCTACGAAGCTACCGATCGTCGAGAGGCCAACGCAGGGTACACAGGCGGTCTACGCGACTGTGCGATGGCCAACGTATTACTGCCTATCCACATCGAGGGACTTATCAGTGTCGGCTCAATAGCAGGCGGGCCGGGAGGAGCTGGCAGTGCGGGAGGCTTGAGTCCATTGCACGGTCAAGGCCGGAAAGGCTCTTACGGCTTTTCTGGTGCCTTCCGGTCGACTTCGTTAAGTGCTCCCGTAGCAACTGGACTCAATCCCCCAGGGGCTCCGTGGATGAGCAAGGAGATCAACGCGAGTCCGATGAGCGGCAGTCCCGCGGGGAGTCCCTTGGGTAGCCCTGCACTAAGCTCAACAGGGGGTGGAGCGGTCATAATCCAAGCAGCCGATGTCCGCCAACATCTCGACTGGATGATGAAGACGATGGTCAACGAATTCCGGACATATGTGTCACTGTTTGTGTACAACGGCAAGATCTGGGTTCGGATCTGCGGTCAAATCTACCTGGAGCTGCGGGATTTCGAATGGCTCGGTGGCGTGCTGAAAGCACTGTGCGAGCGCGTGAGGATGGGCGAGAGCTTGAAGACGGAGGAAGACACACGAACAGGACGTCACATGACGAGGAGGTCGTCGGTAGATCTGGAAGCACTCGGCCGGACCATCAGCGAGGTCCGACTTGGGGCGCCGGCACACCCGAGTAGCAGTGGTCAAGGATCTGGTACTGTTGCCGCTGCACCTGGTGGGCACAGACGATTTGATATTACGCTTGGTCAGTGGGTTGAGGCATAATCAATTCGGATGGCGCGGTGTGTCATTTTGAGCGAGTATGGCGTATCCGGCATCTCATGATGGCGATGGACTGGGCACATATTGCGAATATATTTGCTTACCAAACACCTGTGTTGTATAGCACGCAGAATGTGATGTCATTTGCCACCCTCAGTTTCTGACCTGGGATGAGCTGTTCACGAGAAAAATCGTTCTAGCATGATGGATTCAGGAAGACAGCGTTGATTTTGTCGTCGGAGTAGTCTGCTTGATGAAATCGTCGTTGCCTTGCGGAGACAACAGCGACCAATTCACGCTCAAAACACGGTGTAGATGTGCTTGGCAGGTCGGCTCTATTAGCACGTCTTACCAGTCGAGCCAGTCCGCGGAAAAGGTCCAGATTCAGACTTTTAAGCGCCCCTCGCGTCCCTTCAGGTCAGCTGTGACCACCCGACGCCCTCTGATGGGCAGTGCTCAGAGATTTTAGACCACGTGAACACAGTGTAAAATCAAGCTTTGGTGGCCAGCACCGCCTGATCACCGCTAATGGCGAGAAAAATCCGCCCCTGCCAATCCCTAACGTCACGCCGGCGGGGCGCTAGGGCTTCCCCAGATTCCTGTTACCCTCATTTTATCGCAAAAAGGCAACCTATGTGTCAACACCAGCAAATTTTCCTTCCGTCTGCTTGTCCGCTTGTCATCAAAACATGCTTCATACCGCTCCAGGCACGCGGCCGGTTGTGCTTCCGGATCTCCACTCCGAGCCGCTGCCTCCCAGTCAGTGGCCATGTCGCAGCACGTTCATCGCTGTAAAGGCCTTGCTGGCTGTCTCGGCGTGAATAGCTATGACTGTACAATTTCTCGAAAGGATTTAACCCCGTCACGGGAGCCCATTCCATGGTTACGCCTTGACACATCGTTATTTAAGACGAATCTTGCGACAGGCTGCTGCTTCCACAGACGCTGCATATTGCTAACAACAACTTCAAACTAGCAACTGCGCTAACGACCCCGGATTCTGCAAACATGGAAGGCGTGTCCCTTCGTGAGGCTGGCGCCCATGTCAGACCTGGGACTCCGCTCCGCAACCAGATATACCCAGCAGATGTATCATTAGACGCCACCTCCCGGCCGACTGTTCGTACGCCCTCGCCTCGAGACAGCCCTCAACTGCAACCTACATATCACCTCATCCCCGAACCTGAGATCATGCTGTCCTCACCACGGAAATTCAGCTACGCTTCAGTCAAGGAGGACAGTACCCAAGACACCCCGCAATCCTTTGCGTCGTCTTTGTCCTCAGAAGAGTTGGAAGAGGTCGAATGGATTGCCTGGCCCTGCAGCCAGTGGTGTAGGACAAAGGGTCTTTGTTCACACCACTCGGGCGGATCTCATGACGACTACATCCAGGCCCGACTCGAGGGTTATGCTCGGAGCAATCCCCGCAAGTTGCAGAAGATCCTTCAAGAAATCGAGAAGAGACACAAAGCCCAACGCTACGGTAAACTACCATCTGGTACCGTAGTCAGACTGGGACGACACAGAAGCGACTCGGGCCTGGACATCTGGCGCGAGAAGCTCAGGAAAGTGCTGGCTCAGCCGGACGTCGAAGATGAAGCCGCCATTGTCTCCGACGAGGAGGATGATGTCTCAACGTCCTCGCGGTCCGGCACTGAGCTAGCGCCACTCGAAATGCTGCCAAACGAGATTCAGGACTTGATCTTCTCCTACACCACCGTCGACCACACTGCGGATCCCTATGCCCGGCCACACACCGATCTGTGCTCCCTCTCGCTGGTTTCTAAGAGCCTCCACGCAGCAGCACTGAGGGTCATGTACCGCCATGTATCGATCCCACAGTCCAAGAGCTTCACCAAGTTCCTACGCAGTCTGACAGAGGACGAGTCCTTGGGCCGCTTCGTGCAATGGCTGGACTTCTCCCACTACTCCAACGTTGGCTTCGGCCGAGCACGATCGACGTCCGTTCGCACGCCATTCCTTACGCCTACTACGATCAAAGAATGCCTCGACCGCCTTCCACTGCTGCAAGCATTCCTTGTGCACGAGCATGTCGATGACGAGCTGGATACCCATGTTCTCACAAAGCTGTTGCGCATGCCTCAGATGCACGCTCTCGACTTCACAGCCTGCTCCTCAAAGGCATTCACTCAGTCGTTCACCCAAGTCTGCTTGGGCGAGTCTTGGCGCGACAATAGTATGATCAGCTTGGGTAACTACTCGCACCCACTGAAGCGCCTGTCTCTGCATGAATGCACGACGCTCCAGGAGCCAGTATTCGAGGCTCTGCTCCCTCGTTTGACCGACCTGACCCACCTCGATGTGGCGCACACTCTCATCAACGATGCTGCACTTCTCTCCATTCCTACTACTGCCCGCATCACTCATCTCAACCTCGAACGCTGCACTCGTTTGACTGGAGCCGGCGTCGTCCGATTTCTCACCACTCACCCAGCGGCTAAGGACAGCATGGTATATCTGAATCTCATGGCAGATGCCTCGCGACATAGACTGCTCAGCGAGGAAGATGTCGCGCGCCTACTACCGGCTCTCCCGCGTACGCTGCGCTCACTTAATATCGGCGGTGCGAGAGTCAACCCGGCACATATTCCAGCATTGCGAAGACTGACCGCTTACGTGGAGGAGCTTGGACTCAAGTCGGCTAACTTGGGCCTCAGCACTGACATCACTCGCCTCTTTGCCAATGAGGAGGACAAAACCTATCAGAGTGCGATCCGCTACATTGATTTGAACGATATCAAGTCGGTCACGCAGATGAGCCTGTCATACAGCCCAACCGCTCTGACCGGTGCACATACCGAGCCTCTCGAGGTCATCGAGGTCGGAGGTTCGGTCCTTGACGAGTTGAAGCGACGAACTGCCAAGATTAAGGATCCCGATTGGGTTGTCCGAGAGCTTGGAAGGCGTGGCTGGTACGCCCGTCAGCCGAAGAGCCAGGGACCTGTGGATGACGGGAGTAGGTCCTGGAAGATGGGGGCACATTGGTGGGGTATGAGGAAGATCCCCATGGTCGCTCAAGACGTTGGTGGCATGTACGGATATTTCATGTTCAAGAGGAACTAATTTGCTTCTTGACAGCATACCGTTCGGAAAGATTTGGACAGCGAGCAACGATTCACGACATCAAAACCAGCCAAAAGTACGGTATCAGCAGGAGTTTTGATGTCCTGTTTGGACAGCATTGGGTCAAGCATGGCGTTAGGTGCTTTGAGGTGGTCTCACCTCTACAGAATGACTTGGAGCATGGTACAGCGTCTCTCTTCAATCGGAAATAAAACCTTGGCCGTAGTATCTATAACGTAACAAAGCCATTATGGACCACATCTACTTGCTTTATTCGTGCCTTCAACAGCGGAATTCGCAATCACATGTCGCCTCCAAGGGTAGAGTCCGTCAGTAGTTCGACAAGTGTTACTGCCATACCGTTCTAGGGGTCTACCTGAAGACAGGCTCAGCCAGGGGAGGTGGTCTAGACCTCCTCGGCGTATTTTACTTTACCGCGTCTGCGTGCTAGTCCTAGTACTAGTACTACTGTTTCAGTACTTTTGCTATCGCCCGGGACTTTTGTCATCACGTGTCCGTTCTGGCGAAAGTTGTATATCTTGGCAGGGGCCTCGCAACCCTTACAGCATGAAGTTCCCTCTGCTTTCCCAGGAGTAGGATATCATATAGCATGTAGCCAGGACGATTGGGGAGGGAGCGATGTTTGCTTCGCGGTGTTGTAGGAGGTGGATTCTTTGGATGTTCGCCCTCGAAATAAGGGTCAGACTATCTCGGTAAAGTTCTCGGCTACAGGCAGTTGAGATACAGAGATACAGTCTCCTTGAAAAGTTTGGCGAGGTCTACACCCCGGCCGCACAGCCGCTGTCCTCGTTACTTCACCCGACCTACTTGTTAGAACAAGTGGGACGGGCAACTGATCAATCAAATCCGGTAAAATCATCTCCTCCTGCTTTGACAGGCGGGAGGGTCCAAAGTAACGAGGACCGCGGGTGTGTACCCTGCGTGTAGGGAGAGAGAGATACAGGCTGTTGACAGATTGGCGGGGTGGACCCGGATAGTGCGGGCTTCAACGATGCTTGATTGAAGAGCAAAACGTGCACAGATCCGTACTCATGGCTTTCAGGCCATCGACTGTCGTGTTACCGCCTACGAGAGCCCGAAGGAACTACAGGATCAAGATAGAGCAGAAGAGCGTAGTACACGATCTGGTGTGAAGGAGTGAACCTTGGTCGGTAACTATCTGATGACAACGTACGTGCTTGACAGCTGGACCCAAGGAAAAGGTATCAAAAGAGTTGCACGATCCACTTGGGACGCAAGGTATCTCTTCTGAGAGTGAAGGTACGCCTTTGAAACGTAGAGTCCAGGAACAAAGGTGATTGCGTCCACAAGAAGTCTCTGTGTACTCGGTAGGAGAGGCTGTTCCGTGGGCGAGTGCATGCCCTCTAAATAACCCAAATCTGACCAAAGAGTTTTTCAATCGTCCTTTGGTCAGTGATCATTCCTTTGATCAGGAGCGACTTGCTCCTGATCAAAGGACACTCACTGCTCAATGTCGAAGCCCATTCGGGAAATGGCTCCAGGGCGTTGTTGCACGGTCCGGTGAGCTGAGGCTCCAGGTTGTTGCAGTTGTTGCAGTTGATGCAGGTCCGTTCGATTGCTTTGCTCCAGATTGCATAGATTGAGGCCACTCCTTTCCCTCTGGCTACAATATCGCTGGGCCGGCCGAGCTTCGTACGCTTATCGTCCTTGAACTCGGCTTGACTAATGTTGGGCGGAAATCCGGTCTGTATATGATGCTGAGACGGTTGCTTGCCGAACTCCTGTCGACTCTGTCCCTGTGGTTCTGTTAGCTGATTTGTATACGCGCATTGGGATACTCACTTTGTGTGGAGCCATTCTTTCGACCGCTGGCCATTTGCTCTCTAATGTATCTGAAGGCCCTACACGCTCAGATTGGTGTTCTTGTGCCTTCGAAGCCACAACGCTACCTCCTGAACGTTGATGACGTCTAGGGTTAACATTTCCTGGGGAGGCTTCATGCTTGTGTCTTGCGTGCCATGTGTCCGACTCATTGTACGCATAAGGATCTCGACGATACTCTCCTGAACAGGTGTCAGCAAGCTAGTACTACAATCTGAGGAGGTCTTACTTCTTTGCTTCTCGCGTTCCCAAGCTCTCGAGTCCTCAAGGATGTCTCTACATCCTGCCTACCAGAAGTTAGTTGAGTCTCGTGTATGTTGGAAATACTGACTACACTCAACGTGTTTCTTGCGCCGATCGTGTAGCCCTGCTTAGACGATGTCTACTTTGGGATCAGTAAGAGTCAAACCATGAGTTCAATTATCTTACCGCCGGATTGGGCGATGGCTTGATAGTAGCGGTATCATCGATGAACTCCTTCAAATAAGTCGCCAAAACGACAAGATCGATGTGGGCAGCAGGTATCCAACATTGTATATGAGTAAAGCTGTCCTCGTCACTTGTGCTCGATTGACGAGCGCCCTTTCGTCGGAACTGCTGAGCGAGGGGTGGGCCCACTTGAGGCAGAAGCTTCGTACTGGAGTACTTGCTTTCATCTTCCTGGAACCGAAAGCCATACTGGCCATCATGATCATCGTCGTCAGGGCTCCTCTTCCTCTGTATGGGAAGGTGATTGACGTGATTTCTTCCATCAGTGGTAGTCGTGAGTGCTTTGAGATCTTGTACATTGAGATCTGCTACAAAGGTGAGCGACCTCACACCTTCGTTTGCCTGACGATACGGAAATAAATCATTCTCTTGCACTGAATCTTTCTGCTCACAAGCCTTGTCGGTCTTGTCGGGGTTCCATGAGTCAGCGATGGCGAGCAACTTTTTAATGTCGGTATCAGAATGCATTCGCTGAAGGTGCTGTCTGAAGTTGTCCTTTCGAGGCCATATTTTCTCAGCTTTGGCACATCCAGGAGCAAAGCATTTGAAGGCCCCTATGCCCCCTCCCTCGATGCTTCTGATATGTACTGATCTCTCGTGACGAGCAAGGTCATTCGACGTTGCAAAGCCATCGGTGTTGCGCGAGCAGCCGGTATTTGAGCATCTGAACGGCTTTGCATGCGTCATCTGATGCTTCCTACCAAATGTTAGCATAGGTATGTGTTTGTCTGGCCCGGATTAGCTACTTTGCGTCTGAGGCTGTCTTGAACACATTCCCACAGTACAAGCATGCCAGTTCAGGGAGATATCCACGCTTCGTGTAGAGTGTCCGTCCAGCAGCTCGAGGCTCCAGATCCAGAGCTGGCTGAAGACTCTCGTCTTCCAGACAATTCCATTCGTCTTCCAGAATGGAACTGTCCACGGGCTCTGGCGGCTGTTTGAGGGCCCAAGCGACTCCTGAATACGTTGTTCCAAAATCAACCGCCACGACAAATCTGTGACGGCTTGTGCTAGAGCTGCATACAATATCATCAGGCGACCTGCGTAAGGAGTATGGCTCAATGTCGACAGTCCCACCGCCAGCATCGCACACCAACATGCATTCGTTAGATGGAGCCCTTTCCATGGCCGCAGCTTCTGCGCAATTTTGTGCCATTTACTTTGCTTGCCATAAGGTGGTTGCGTTGGGAGGTCGATAGCCAAGGGGGAGCGGTAGGACCTGGCACCTGTATAAAGAAAACACGAAGGTGTCACCGGTCAGGAAGATACCCAAATATGCTAGTCACTTACATGACGGCGAAAAGGGCCACAATGTGGCCACAAAATAGGCCAGAACTTGTTGTAGTCGACATGGACCGAAAGTCCAGCTAGTCTGCCCTACTCCGCAAGTCCGCAGCTGTGACAGCGTGCCCGGTTAGTTTGGCATCCTTGAAGCCAGAGACACGGTTGGATGTGGCTTGCATCTAATTCTCTTGGCCCCTGTAAATCGATACCCCGGGGACTTTTGGCGTCGCTGCGGGGGGTACTTTTGGATGAGGGTCGTTGGGCACGCATATCGCCCCGTCATCCTTCGATAAGCCAAATACGTTTCGACGCCAGCCCGCGATGTTTTGTCGCGTTTTTCTTGTTGCAGAAGAGAATCTGCAAGTCTATAAGCCTGGTACGTCGACGACAGCTGCTTCTACCACAAATTACTCCTGGCCAGGTCAATATTCGTGGCAAGGCTGAAGTGTTTGCCTACCAAACCTGCAGGTTGCGAAAATGGGAACGCTGAAAGCTCCCAAGAAAGTACCTCAGACCTCTCCGACTCCAGCAACATGGGAGGCTTATAAAGGCATCATTCTCGAATTGTGGTACTACCGAGATCTCAAGCTTTCTGTAGTCATGGCGCAAATGAGCCAACGCGGCTTTCACGCAACGTAAGTAGCACCTCCAATGTAGTCCTTTGAGTCGCTAATGTACCAGCCCTCGGATGTACAAAGCGCAGTTTGCCGAGTGGCAGGTGTGCAAGAACGCCACCAGGGACGACTGGCTGCCGGGAGCAAAACTAATACAGACACTTCAAGAATCTGGTATTGCCAATCCACAAATCAAAATCCACAACAAGGATCGACAACTACGTGACCTGAGGAAGTGGCTTCGGGACCATGACGAAAGCGAAGACGACTTTATGACTGAGGCTAGAGGATGGCAAGGGCCAACTCCTGATCATATACGTGCTTGCGGTCCTAGAACGACGTCGGACAACATGCCGCACTCTGCACCAGGCAGCTCTTCTGCTACGGCAACGCCGTTTGCCGATACTTCAGTCGCCTATCCTGAAAGCATTGAGGTTGATGAAGACGCCAGCGCCAAGTCTTGCCTCTCGGATGAAGTTGCAGGTACTGTTGGTGCACTTCATCATGAAGGCCAGGGGCATCAGCCCGGCTCAACAGCAAGTGGTTCTAAAAAGCAAGCTCCTGCGACCGGGGCAATGACCCATGAGGCACCGATGAATTCAGAGCTAACGAACATGAGTGAACTCGGTACCTTTCCAAGGGTCCTCGGGGGGGACGTAGACGACATGCTCCAGAACACTTACGGCCAGACACCTCCCCCGGTCCTGTCCACTATCGCAGCTCCAAACCCGATTTTGAGTTACTGGTATGGAGCCGCTCACATGAGATATGTCGTGGGGTGCGAACTCGCAGCCGTGTACGGCTACCTACGAATGCACACGACCATGAATGAATGGCTCAATCATGCATCCGATGGATTCCGTCAAATGTGCGCCGAAAACCAGCCAATCATCTTATTAGCAGCAAGTGCTATGCTCACGTGGCTGAGCATACATGTAAGCGATAATGTGGCTGGCAAAGTCCTGGCAGCAACGCTTTCCGTTGCTCAGACTGTCTTTGGCCCGCAAGATCCTGTCACCCTGACCCTTAACTGGATGGTCCTTGCGACGAATGTGGAAAGGTTACGAATTCATCAAATAGACACGAGGACCATGCGACATATCTGGACAACCACCTCACAAACACTGGGCGACCAGCACTGTCATACCATGGTGGTACTCTACGGACTTTGTTTTCACCTCATGGCCGTGGACAAGAAATTCGCAGAGGCTGGCGAGCATCTGGAGAGGCTTATTGCGACGTCAACTCGAGTGCTAGGCTCAGCACATGTCTTCACCATCAATATTTTGGCAACGCTGAGCCGTGCACAACTACGTCAGGGTCGTGTCGAGTTAGCCCTGAGCACCATAAACAGAAGCCTTATTGCTGCCCCGTATGGTCTCAATCATCCGCACCGACTCGAGTTGCTCCTGCGGAAAGCGATATTGCTCTGGAAACTTGGGCGCAGGGAAGAGACCAAAGAACTTTACAAAACCGTAACTAGGGGTCGAGTGGCAACCCTGGGCAGGCATCACAATAAAACTATTTCGGCTCACAACAGCTTGATAGACGTTGCTGAAGAGAGCGAGAACTGGGAAGCAGAGAAGGATGAGCTACACCGCGTTTTGGCAGATCCACAAATGACGGTGGAGGACTATGAGAGCTGGTGGCGGGACACGTTTGATGCTGCCCGCAGGGAAAAGGGAGAAGGACCTTCCCTCGGAGACGAAAGTGACGAATAGCCCAAATACATGAGCCGAATGAGAGCCAACAGGCGACATGACTTAAAGCTTTTTATGAACCAAGTACTCTCTCAGCCATAGCATCACAGCGCTCAGGCCTTTGCATCAGTTCCATAAAATCTCAGGCAGTGAAAGTCTTGGCGATGGACCTCCGTCGAATTCCTGATGTGGACACTGCCGATCGACGGAAGCACAGTCGCGAGTTGCAGGAGAAAAGGAAAGTCGTCTAGTCTAATGCTCATGTTCATTCCCAGAAGGCGCATCCTTCCGCCTGTCGATTGACTTCTGTCCATGATCCGCCCACTTCAGTCCTCCATCCACGTACTAGTATTCCTCCGCGTACGAACTAAAATCATCCAGAGCCATGATCGTGTCCGTTTCCCAACTCTTCGACCCAGACTCCACCATGATCTCCTTCACCCCTCTCTCCGCTGCACAGTCCACCCAACCAACAATCCTGTCTCTGAACTCCTCGTCCATTGGCCTGGCGAGCTCGAGCCCCCAGCACCTGAGCCAGTCGTAGTGATGCCGCTCACCACCTGGCAACGGACGCCCCAGCACAAAACCCAAAAGGTCCGAGATTACGTCCTCCATTCCTTCCGGCGTGCCATCCACGGTCCACACTTTGTGCACCCTGGCGCACATAACCCCAAACTTCAGCTTGAGTCCCTGTTGGCATCGCCAACCTCGTTTGCCTGCCTGTTTCACCGCGAGCAGCATGCGGAAGAAGACCCGCCACGCGTGCATGCGCAGGTATAGTGTTTCCAGCTTCGGTGCCAGCTGGAGGACCTTGTCCAGCGTGAACGCGTCCTTCCCATTCTCCCCCTGCTCCGCCAGGTCCGGCCGTATGATGGCCCAGCAGTGCTCCACGCGCATCACGCGCACCTCCAGATGTCGAATCCATCTTGGCCGCGTGGCCATTTTCGGGCACAGTTGCTGCCAGAAGGCTCGCGTCAGCACCGGCGTTTGTGCCTGTGCTTCAGCCTGCGCGAGGCTGAGAAATCGTTGTTCATGGGCCCCGTCGAGGTCCCAATCGTGGTGTGTTGTCGGCAGCAGCACGACCAGATTGCGGTCGTACCAGTCTGCGAATGTGTCCAGCCAAGTTGCGGCGGTGCTTCGGCTGCCGCTGGAGAGGATGGCCCGGTCGTGGGGCGTCACAAAGAATTGTGTGGTTTCTCGAGTGCGACGTCGAGTGTAGTCGAAGTAGGGCCCCGCTCCGCCGATTCGGCAACCGGGGAGGGGCCTTTCAATGCCGTTAAAAAGGTTGCCGAAGGTATTGATTTTTAGTTCGGCAGGCAGACCAAAGAAGAGCTGAGCACGTTGCTCACGGTCCTGCTTCTTCACAGCTTCGCGGGTGAAGTGGGTCTTGATGAGGCGTTGGACGGGGGTGGTATAGCCAGGCATTTTGGTGGTGTTGTATCGTGAGTTATATTGAATGCCTTTTGAAAGTGAAAGTGCCGAGTCACCGTTGATGGTGACTGTGTTGAGTGTCCTTAGACAGTGAATGTGTTCAGTGAAGTGTCAGTGGTCACTGTTGAGGGTGACTATTGACGATGTCAAGATGTAATTGACTATTCAGATCAAGTCTTGAGAAGTTGATACCAAGAGTAGGAATCTCTAACTACCCAGTGTGACTGTGTGAGAAGTTCTGCCACTCCAGAACCACAAGAGCAGCACCATTAAGTGCTCTCGCACACGCCCACCAGATCAACCTGCCCTCACGATCATCTCGAATGAAAAGCAGTACCATTGTTACGATTCTCATGTTTTCGCAGTGTTGCTGAAGCAGCCTGAGGCTGGTAAAAACAGTCGCGATGAGGTACTCTGGGGCTGTGAAGGATAGAATCGCTCATTGGCTGCCAGGGACTGCAAGGCAACAAGGCAGAACTGAAGTGGGGTCCTGTACCAGATATTCGCACCGGGGTTGGGAATCAGCTTGCTGTATTGGGAATTAAGATTGGCGGCGGCCTATGTAGGAAAACAAGTGACTCAGAGGCGAATGTTCTGAAGATGGACACATTCTGATCTGATCTAATGGTGCTGATCTTAGATCAGTAGGAGGAGACATGCTAGATATTGGGTGCCAAGAAAATCACTGCCTGATCAATGCCGTCGGCATACCGTTTGCGGTTTGTGCAGTCTACCTCCATATGCAGTTGCCGCCAATAATCCCCCACGTCTTAAGTGTTAACAATCATCCTGACCTCGGTGAACAGCAATACAAGTCATTCACATACACGACGCCCAATTCAGTCCCGCCCCTCCCCAGACGGCACCTTCATGCCATGCATCCCCTTATACCCACTGACGACACTCTCCCTCCAGCCCTCCCTCTCCAACAACCCCTCATCTTCCAACACAAACACCTCGACCCTCAACGGCCTACAAACCCCCCTCATCTCCTCATCCCTCCCAAACCCCCACACACTCAAATCCCCTCCAGGACACGTACTCAACGCGCACAACAAATCCGTCTCCGCCAACAACTCGACATAATCCCCCTTCTGCGCCGGACTCGGCTGCATGAAATACTTCCCCTCCTCGTCCAACCCCGTCACCTGAAACAGATTTATCACATCATGCACATCCCCCTCCCCCAGCCCCCAGGGCGCCACCGCCCTCACCAAATTACTGTGACAGTGATAATCATAGCTCCCCTGCTCCCCACTCAGCAACACATTGATATACGGATCACACCTCGTCCCCAACAGATCATGACACCTGCCCCCCCGTCCATCAACGCCGTACCAGCCCAAAGAATCCGCCACGATCGTCGCCAGGGGACGCATATACGGCAGACAACTCCACAGCCGATCCCCCACGGACACGTGGCTCTGGTGCAGCTGCCGCGAGCGACTCGCCCAGAACCGCTCCCTGGGATTCCGCAGATTCCACAGGTTGAGATCCGCGACTTGCGGGCCCTCGGGCGTGGAGAGCCGGATGATGCTGCCGGCGGGGGCCGACCAGGCGAGGCCGCTGCGGATCGGGAGGTCGTGGGTTTGTAGGAGTTTGCGCGGCGCGGATTGGATGCGCGAGTAGAGGTCCCGGTCGACTTTGAGGGGGGTGAGGCCGTCGCCGACGGGGAGGTAGGCCGGGATCGGTGGTGGGGGTGGGTTAGCCGTGAGGAAGGCCTTGCGCTCTGAGGGAGGGGCTGTGGCGGGAGGTGGTGCTGGGGTGGTCATGGCGGATGGGGAGTTGCTGCGTGTGGAGTCGGTGTTGTGTTGTGTGGTGTGGGTGGTTCAGTTGAGTGCTGCAGCTATGTGAACGGACGTCTTTAGATGAGGGCGTGAGAAAAATGTACTTGTTGGGATATAGTTTGAGACGGGCATCTCCGACTTGTTGACATGGCGATAAAGCTACGAAGAGGCCAGAAACGGGATCTGTAAATCAAAAGGCGCATATTTCAGCGCTGGATGGGTATCAATGTCCTCGTTGGATCCTTCTACAACTACCGCGCCATCTCCTGCTGCCCTCTGGTCTCGCCTACATCCTTGTCCTGCTTGAATACTACAGCCATGGCCTGGTCCAGGATATCCAGACCGTGGTTGACCTCCTCCGCAGAGATGACGAGCGGTGGAACAATTCTAATCACGCCGTCGCCCGCGGTGATAATTAGTAGCCCTCGTTCACGAGCTGCAGTGACCACCTCGGCGGCCTTGCCCTTCGCTTCATCGCTGAGCTGATACCCCACAATCAGGCCTCGCCCGCGAACCTCGGTTAAAACGCCAGGATATTTCAGCTTCATTGTCTCGAATGCGCCAAAGTAGAGTGTAGACTTGATGCGCACTTCTTCCTGCAGCCTGGCGTCGGCCAGCCGACCAAAAATGTGATGCGCTACTCTGCAGGCGAAGGGATTGCCGCCGAAGGTTGTGCCGTGATCGCCCGTCTTGATATACTTATTAACGGCTTCACCTGACACAAGCGTGGCACCAATAGGGATACCATTACCCAAGGCCTTGGCGGTCGTTAGTATGTCCGGCTGCACGCCGCTCGCCGTGTACGCCCACAGGTCGCCTGTCCGAGAAAGGCCGCATTGGATTTCATCGAAGATCAGAACCGCCCCGACCTCATCGCATCGCTTTCGGAGGGCTTGCAGAAAATCTGGAGTCGCCACATTGATACCACCCTCACCTTGAATGGGCTCAACGATCACACCGGCGGTCTTCTCGTTGACAAGCTTGTCCACCGCTGCAACATCATTGTAGGTACCGTATCTAAATCCCGGCAGCATTGGACCGAACGGCGCCTGATACTTCTGATTGGGCGTTGCCGACAACGAGCCAAACGTCCGACCATGAAAGGAGCCGTGAAATGACACAATCTCTCGCTGATCGGAGCTTGTATCTTTGGCATATTGTACTTTTCGGGCAAACTTTAGAGCCGCCTCGTTCGCCTCGGAGCCCGAGTTCGAGATAAACGCCTGCGTCAGGTGGGAGCCCGGTGACTGTTTCTTGGTTTCTTCGATCAACAACTTGGACAGTGTGGGCGTCCAAGGGTTGTGATAGAGGTTCGAAGCGTGAATCAGAGTCTCTGCTTGATTCTCAATGATGCGCGTGAGAGCCGGATCGGCGTGTCCCAGCGAGTTGACGGCAATGCCTGCTGTAAAGTCCAGATACGCCCTGTTTTCATTATCGTATAAGACACATCCTTTTCCGGAGACCATCATGGGTGGTGGTCTGACGTAGGTGGGCACCATGTAGGGTTCGCTTTGATTGAGGAAGGTTGCGGTTGGCGAGTCCAGCGCAGGGTCCGGGTTCGACACCGACTTCTCATGCTGTATCTGCGAGGAGTCGGCGCTTGATATCGACGACGAGGTGGGGACTGGCGCAGCGGTGGCATATTGTCGAAACGGAGTGACGCAGGCCCGCGAAGCTCTTGGAGCTGCCGCTCGCGTGAGCAGCCGTATCGAGAGAGGTCGTGACATGCTGCAGGGCTGAGGAGGGAATGGATGGAACTACAGCCTCAAAGGAGGCTTCATGCAGTACTAGTAATCTTGAATTCAAGGTCAGCAGCAGAGTCACAATTCCGGAGCATCTCACACGCCTTTTCCTCAAGCGGCTCAAAAACTTGTCGCTCCGGTGTCGTATCGATAAGAGCCATGAGCCGGAGAACGGCTAGCCTAAACAGTGTAAGCGGGGATGCCCGAACGATTTCGAGAATAGGAACCACCTGGTATACACCTAGGAGCTATTATTTTGATACGGCAATTCAGATTAAGCCATTATTCGCCTGGCACATGCATGGTGTCGTTTGCTACTCAGTGCGCCTCTGCAACATGCGCCCCTCATCACTGCTCGCGCGCATCATGTTACCAGACTCTGTGCTCCTCCCAGATCGGTACCTTTCGAGGCTCCTCGGTATCCCACTGCACCTTTCCTTTGTCATTCAACCAAGCAGCTTCGTCCGAGCTCTCGATTCCAGCCTTCCTGTTGCCTTCGACCAGAGCCCTTGAAAGACCCATTTGATCTCTCGCTAGCCATACGACCGGCTTTCGCGCAGCAAGTGATGGGTGCATGTACGCAGTCTGCAAGTCTCCTGAGTCGTAACGCGGCGCACGGCCATACTCCATCGCACCCATCTGAGCTCGTGCCTTGGCCCGAGACTTGGTGATGAAGCCCGCGAGACGATGTGTGAGCATGTTGCCTCCCTTTTGTTGGTCTGGGGAAACGGATGGTTGCCAGGCTGGCGCATGGCGTACGCTTCCCTTCTCGTGTCTCTCATGACCAGGCCCATCCAAAGTACGGTCGGAGTCGCTGACGCGTGGGCCAGTCTCGGCATCAGTGGCGATCATCGTGCTCTCGGGGTTCTCGGCCAAGAGTTCAAGCGGAATGCTGGACTTGAGTGGACGTAGGGCCATGCTGATGAAGACGTGACAAGCGATGAGCACGACCAAGAAGATGATCATCAACACCAGAGGTCCAACTGCACTCGTTGCGTCGGCCACCGCAATCGCGAAGAGACCAATCAGACACCCTGTAGCCAGATATACACCTGTCAACAGCTGTTGCAGTCCCTTTAAGTAACTCTCGCCTTTCATGTCGACTTTCATTCCGTAAACGAACAAGAAATTGTACCGGAAGCCGAGATACATCAGCAAGAAGCCAATGGTGGCGAATCCTAGCACGAGCGGGGCGATGCAGCTGTAAGTCAACGCAATGACACCAAGATTGGTGAATTTGGGATACACCGATCCCCAGCCAAGTCCGACCAGACTGTTCCAGCGATTGAACTGCTTGCGGGGAGTCTTATCCATCTTGCCGAGGATGTTGATCATCAGGAACGGAACGAGGTTAAGCACCTCTAGTGCTGCGATCATCAGTCCTTGGAGAATGAAGTAGCTGATGTAGAAGTTGGATGCTTTCGGCAAATTCTTAGCGAGCAGAGTGACCGCAGACGGAGGATTCGACACAATCTGTGCAGCCACAGCCGATGCTGCGGAGCTGAATGTCGTCACCAAGAACACCTGGATGACCTGGAAGACGAAATACCAGGACTGGGTCTTGAGTTCGACAGCTGAGAGGGTAGGTGCACCAGCGAATTTGGCAAGTACTGGCCCTGGTCAGCACACATCATCATCGAAGAATTTGGAACACTTACATCGGCACAGGATCGGCACCAAAGCCATCAGGACAGCCAAGAGAATGACTGGCAGCAGACCAGTGACCACACCGAGAATGACAGACGGGATGTCGTTGATGAAGCTGAGGAAGGGCACCTGCTCTGTTAGATAGTTTATGTTTGAAATGGCTCCAACAACGGCAACAGGGATGGCCCAGAAAATGGTCAACAAGACTATGGCAGTGGTCGCAATAGCCATCTTGATCTTGCGTGAAAACTTGTTCATGGCCAGGTTCTTCCAGATGACCTCGCCGGGCTGGACACCAATGTATCGGGGTGAGAACTTGGTCTTTGACTGCTGCGCGAACTGCAGAGCGTCCTGTGCGGCTGCCTGCGAGCTGAATTCGACAAACGCCGCTTGAGTCTTCTTGGAGTTTTCGCTGAAAACGCCCTGCTGCAGCTCTTCGACTTTTCGGTTCATTTGCGGTAGTTCCGTCAGGCCATACTCAATCGTGTCGACCTTCTTGCCGATCAGCATCTTCAAACGGTGGGTCGGTCGATCCTTCTTATCGATGGAAGCGAGAGGATCACTCGTGGCTTGGTCCTTTTGTGCACCACCTGAGTCGGTCTTTGAGTTCTTCTTATTGGCGTTGATAATGAGCTTTTGTTGGCCAGCCTCAAACTTGTTCCAGAGCTTCTCTCTGTCCTCAACGGCCTCATCGAGTTTCTTGTAATCCGGAACGATCCAGATCTTGTGAACATGCTGACCGAACGCTTGTCGCAGACCCTGTTCGTTTAGGCTCTCTTCTGGAATGCCCAAGAAGAGAACTGTCCTGGAGGATAGTCGCTGGGCATGTAGAGTAGACATGAAGAGAGCTTGACGGAGGCCGATAAAATAGATTGATTCGCGCACGACAACAAAAACGACGAAACCTGGAGAGTTAGCCTAGTTTCGACGATCTTCTAGCGAAACAAACCTAGGAAGACCCATGCAACCAAGGCGTGTGCGTAGTATCTGTTTGGATTGGCCACGTTGCTCATGCTGAGCATGTCCAGCTCCTGCTGTCCACCTTTACCCGTCGCATTGACGGGAAACAGGATAGGCCATGTTACGCAACATCCAATGAATGAGATGACGACCAGCATTTTGAGATAGCGGAGCCAAAGATAGCCGTCGAGTGACTGGTGATGGAGAACATGTTCGTCAGGGAGCTGTCTGTAATCCGAGACCCATGATAGTAGTCCGGTCTTGGGGGCTGGAGTGTAATCCCTGGTTCAGTTAGTCAAAACGTCTAAGTGGAAATGGGTTCGACCATACTGTTGGGGAACGATGCCATCGATTGAGCGAGGTTGGTAGACACGGCTTGCCTTTCTGCGGAGGATGAGGAAAGCGCTGAAGATGGCGATCGCAATGAGTAGAGTAGGTACTAGCGTACAGACGAGGGTTGATGCGGAACTGGACTGGTCGCGTGCCTTGCCTTCCTGCATTGATGGATTAGCGATGGGTCTAGGAGGAATGAGTAAGACTAACCTGGGCCTGACGACGAGCCAGTTGAAGAAGGGTATTGACGCCTTCCATGCTGGGTGAAAATGTATGAGAAGACGGTGATGCAGAGGATGCGATGATGATTTCGAAGGTGACTTCCTCAATCTGATTTGTGTGCAGGTCCTTCTTGAAGCAACTTGAAAAGCACAGGGCAACCGCGCGTCACTGTGTCGTACGAGACAAGTCACTCGTACCACCCAATTGGCTGCAGAAGACCGAGATCCTGTCAAACGCGTCCGTGGGCTGAGCAACCCAAGAGTACGACCATGTAGATTAAAACAATTGTGCAGCCGCGCAAATGAAGGACTGTGGCTGCGTTCAATAGAGAAGAAGCCTGTGTTAAGCAACGTACGATCACCCTCCTAGGCTGCTTGACAAGATGCACTATATTGATCTATTGGGGGGATGATGTACAGCATCCAAGAATGACGTTGTAGCGCCAACTCAATTTCCGACGGCCCAGCAATGTTGGTCAAAACAAGGCACACTTTTCAGCTGGCAACAAACAATGTCAAAACTCAAATCGGGGAAGGAATTGGGAGGGTGGATCGATCAAACGGCTGGCTGCATCGGGCTGCAACTTGGACTCGTCAATCGACCTTTAGGTTTTCTGGAGGGGGGATCAAGGGAAGATTGCAGGGGGACTTCGGATGGACTGGCCAACGCTCCATGACGACACAGTTGGCATTCAAATTGTTTGTAGCTGCCGGATGTGATCCTCCGGGCACGAAGTTTCGGTGCACTGGGTCAAAACAGCCAAAGAGGATGCGCGAGGTTCGTGGTTACGTTATCCATGCCAGGGGAATAACTAGAATCTATCGTCTCCGGCGGGGGCAATAGTGGCAGATCCTAGGCGAACTAGTGATCGTCATGACCGAGAATCTCCAGGATCGGTAGCTGAGAGCTCCACTGATCTCCGGCCGAGGCCCTACACAGCCAAACGATCTCTTTTTGCAGCTCAGATGGTGCTGTTTCCAGCTCACATGTACGGCACTGCAAGTGCTTGACATGTGCACATCCATATTCTGTGCACCATGGCAGGTCATCACAGGCCGTCGCTTGCCAGAGGCCCCTTGTATCCTAACTCGGTCGGCATAATATATGATATAGGACTTTGTGACTTGCCTTTGCGTCAATTCGCAACATAATACATAAAGCCGATTGACATATACCCCACAACTACCACCGACGCATAGTTCATCGATGCCGCAGTCGCCTGGCGAGCCGCCGGCATGCTGAAGAGCGGTAACTGGAAGGCACCCACTCCACCGAAACACCATTGACGAGCCAACCTGGAGGGACGGATTACGCCATCGAGTCGTCGACACAGCTTTGCAACCCGTAGACAGACCGATCCCGATAGCATTAGCATATCCTGTAGCTAGCGGAATCACGCTGCATGCAGCGAAGGCATGGGACACGCTCAAGCGTTTGAACCACAGTCAGCAGCGCCAAAGCCATAACCGGCACTTGGTCGTCAACAAGCTTGGACCACATGCTCGAGAGTGGGATCGCTTGATGGCGCGCAAAGGCCCAGGTCGCTCATGAAGCTGCTGGAAGCAGTCCAATGAAGAAGGTAAAGTTGCCCCGTTTGGAAAGGCTCTTATCATAATGACCAAGCGCATGTGCTACGCTATGACCACCAGCCTTCGCGCTCACTGACAGAGCGATGCATAAAGTCAGAATTGCCAGCCCGTCCCTGACCGACGGAACTATATCGACATGGAGAAGGATTTGATGGGCCCCATGCTTCTCTCCACAAGTCAGAGCGTGCACCAGGTCCATAGCAGCATATACCGACAACAGATTGTGCCTGTAAGCCATCCCGTAGCAGCGTTCTTGCCGCCGTGTTGCTCCGTCGATCTAATTAATCCTGCGAAGCGATAGCGGAGCAGGGATATATTGGGTTTTCTGCGCCAAGGAATTGAATCCTGCACGCTGATTGGG